CTAACACTTCAGCCGATAGCGCGCAACATTTGCCGACAACCACTGAAGGAAGACTGAGAACACTTCTATTATCCTCACCAAATAAACTGAAATAAACTGAAAGACTGAGAACACTGTATTCTTGTGCCAACCCTCTCCGTCTCGAACTGATGTCCTTAAACGATATGCAACTTTTTTCTTGTGCCAACCCTCTCCGTCTTGAACTAATGTCCTTAAACGATATGCAACGTTTCTCCTGCTGATGGTCCCCGTCCCGAACTAATGTCCCTAAACGATATGCAACTTTTCTCTTGCTGACATGTCAACTCAGTTTACAACTGTAATTGTATTCCGTTTGTATCATACCTTTGAAGTCAGGGTTAGCTTACAATTGTACATATATTCCGTTTGTATCATACCCTTGAAGTCAGGTGTTTTCACTTGAAGCATATACTCCGTTTGTATCATACCTTTGAAGTCAGGTTTTTTTCACTTGAAATAAACTCCCTATCTCGCCCAGTATTGACAAAACACAAAATTGAAACAAAACCACTACGGGCTGCAACATAGGGAGTTTGCTTTAGGTTTTTTCCTGCCTTCGAAATTTTGGAAGGCGCCCGAGAGGTGCTTTACCAACGCTTTAAAATTGCCTGTAAATTGGCATGATAAACATATATATATATATAATGAGTTACAACACAACAGGAGAAAGGGGGATTAAATGAGGAATCCTATCTTTAAAAGTGAAGCTGTAACAGAAGGTAGAATGTAATGATTGATTTGTTTATTCACATGCACAGTCACTGTCGCTGTTCAATGTCCACCAATCAGTGTCTAAGGACTGTTATGTTGTAGGATTGTTGGACGGTGCCCATATGGGCAGCCGTACAATGTAAAAAGGGGGAGTTTACCTTGAGAAACTTCTGCCTGACTGACTGCATTGGTACTCATCGTCGCCAGTCTTCGCGATCCCAACGTCCATTGATTTCAATCAGGGTGCACTGATCTTCTACGGGGAAACAGGCGTACTTCCGGATCGACGACGGCAACAGGCAGCTTTTCAATCCTGTCCCCATACTAGCTTTAACAACTTTTAGAACGTGTGAATCCTCAGGATAATTCAAGTAATCGTCCACATTCACGTAATCAAAATACAGTAAGCCTATTTCACCGTTGGGGTAGCGTACTATTCTTTGCATGCAAGCAAACCTACCGTCGATAGCTACAGAGCCCTCAGAGGGTGTACTGCCAATTAGAAGTCGGCCCTTGACGATTAACTTAAACTGCGTAAATGATCCACCAGTTGGTGGCAGTGGACCGTCACGGTGCTCATGTTTGAAATCTCACTCTGGTGAACTTGATAATAGGGCGGGGGGCAGTAGAAGACAGGGAGCGCACATGCATTTTATGCTTGAAAAGAAGAGCATTCACAATCGTCGCTGGGATGTAGGTGTAAAGACTTAAGTCTGTTCAATTGACATGTGATGGACTTGACCTAATGAGGCCAGGGGAGGGAGGGTGGGAGAGAGAGACTAGCTCGCCAAAATGTCCGTATCATTGGCGTTGCGGCCGGAGACAAACTCAGAGTCGTCTAAGTACTTGCCGGAGGGATCATAAGGTGGTGCCTCAAAGGTATCAGGGTAAGTAGTGGGATCATGGTAGCCGCCATGGTCACCACCGATCACGCCTGCGGATCCGCCAACGGTACCACCGCCACCGATGATAACGTCATCAGCATAGACACCGTACTGCACTGTCGCGCGGTAACGCATGTACGCAGTGTACGTGAGTCCACCCTGTCAAGGAAAACAAGAAGGAAATAGAGAAAAACTAAAGGCAAAGTAACGAAATAATGGTAAGAGCGCCCTCCCCTCCCCCATCATCATTATCGCCACCAGCATAATCGGCACCCTTATTCATTCCGTTCTCTTGAGCATTCTCATTATCAGCGGCGGGAGATACGGCGACACAAATCGAGGCATAACAATCGGCTTGAACCTCCAAAGACTTGATTTTCAGATCTGAGGTGTAAGTAGGTGAGACATGTAAAATTAACAGGCTGTAGATAAAGCAGGGACACTACAGCAGGTCTGTGAACTGAAAGCCCCTCACAGAAATTTCAGTTTTGAGGAAAGTCAGAGTAAGAATTAAAAGGTATCGGAACATAAGTAACAGCACCAAGGCTACGTTCTGTGACCGATGCGAAGGGGCAAGTTTGATCACACCAGTGCGCCAATAAAAATGGCGCGAAAAAAATACCGTCAGGAAGCTATCAGAGGCCAGTTTTCAGTGGCTTAATTTGCCCCGCTCCCCGTCCAGTGCGTCTAATCGGACCAGAAGACATGGTTTCCCGTATTACCCTACGCCAAACGGCATTCTGATCACGTCGGGGTCACCGCTCAAGGAAGTGCGATGGCTAACAGCACGATTTCCCCATTCAAGGGCCAGAGAGCACAGCTATTGGGTGAGAAGGGGCACACGTATCTCAGTAGGCAGACAGCTAGCTGTCTCGCCACGCCGGTGAGGATGTCAGCCCCAACGCAAAAGGTTTGCGTGCACATGGACTTTGTTTATTTGTAGCCGATCAGCGCTCGCTACCTCGGTGCCATGTCCAGTGCGGCGAAAACAATCGAATAACAGGGAGTCTTGGGCGGACTGAAGGCATGGGTGAAGGTCCGCGCTAGCGACCATGGAAGCGGACTGATAAAAGAATTTAGGTCTAACCAGCCACTTCTCAAACATTGCATGTTGAACCTCGGGCAGCAGAAACCGCAGCGGCTCAAGGCACTGAACAGTGTGATGGTTATGATGCTCGCTAACGCCGCTCTCACGTTCAAAACGAAGGATAACTTTTCGTTTTACTACATTGATTTGGAACTTCTCAGTCAGGGCCCCTGACCGTTAACTTACTTACTTTATCCGATTAGCTCTTAATGTTGGATGAATCGGCTTCACGGGTGTAACGGATAGCGGCGGCCCATCCGTTCGACGTCCGACTTGACAGTGCTGAGCCATGTCGGTATCTCCAGGTTGCAGTTCGAGAGGGGTTCACGACCAATCTGCAGAAGTCCGTCGATGGCTTGCGCAGGACATGGCTAAATTATTGCAATCGGCGATACTGAATGTATGATGCTAGGCTTGGTAGTTTAAAAC